CTTCCAGGGTTATTGTGAATACTTGTCAATATCTACCCCTTTAATTACGGGTGGCACGCATGGTATCTTCTCTATACGATCGTTCTGTTCCTTCAACTGTTTCTGCAAAGTTAGCACTAAACTTTATATATTAGAATTATTTGGAGTACCTGATCCTTCATCACGGGATTCATTAGCATTTTCTCCACTTCCAGATTTATCAAGCCCAAAACGCGGGTTCTCCAAAGTTGATGTATTAACTGGTGGAGGAGTTTGTGCCGCATTGGATAATCATATGACAAAAGCTTGTAGCGCATTATTCACATGCTCCACAATCAATTGCTTTAGAGCGTCTTGCTTCATAGTTTGGTCGTTTCCCTACTAATCATTAGTGCGAGAGGTGAACCTTGCAGGCGAACTCCCACATGACTGTTGAGGGGATCCCGTTGGTATGTGGTGAGGTGGAGTTGCACCTTGTTGGTTCAGCTAGTTGTTGTCGTTAGCGGTTGGAATATTTGACAGTTAAATATTGGAAAGTGAACAGATTATCAGATTCCCGGCAACGGAACCAATTTGTTTAACCAAAAATAGATTTTTTGGTTGAAGTCAATATCTAGAAGAAATCGGGTTATTGATAATCAAGATTTACTTTACTTTTCCAACAATTTTGGAAGAATAGATCAAAGAATGGAAATGATTGACAAAGGAAAATAAGAAATGAAATGATAATCACTCCCCAAAATTAAGGGTTAAAGCTTGGAGAATAAAGTAAAGAATAATAGTGTGGATTTCAATAATAATCGTAACTTACCCTTACAAAATGAGATTTATGTCCTTATATAGGAGCATACAATTATAACGGTTCTCATACTTAATTTGGGCTCACTAATAGTATTAATTGTATTGATTGCTTGTTATCATATGTTACTGTAATGGATACATTTATGACTAAATATTCTTTGTAACTGTACCGATTTTCCTTCCTTGTTTACATCAAGTTCGTGTATCTTCCCTTCTTTGCAGCCTTCATTCATTTCGCTTCTGTTTCTCCTTTAACAGCTGTCAAGTCCGATTCTTTCCTCAATGTAACCCCATGGGTGTTTCTCTCGTACCTTTTCTGCATTCTTTAATTCATCTAATTAAGAGTGCCACTTGTCCTTACATCGACGCTTTACGTGTCATGCCATGTTATCTTGTTGATAGTCCACGTATCATGTCTTTTTTTCCACCAATACAGTAATCTTATGGTATATTGAACTGACTTGCATGTTTTTTCCCCAAATCAGCATTGAGTAACAACAACAAATTCAGTATAATCCCACAAGCGGGGTCTGGGGAGGGTAGTGTGTACGCAAACCTTACCCATACCTTGAAGGTAGAGAGGATGTTTCTAATAGACCCTCAGCACGAAAGACAAGAAAAAAAGTAATAGCACCAAGCAATAACACCAACAAAATAGTAAGAAAACGAAACGAAAGAAACAACAAATAATAAATCTAATAATAACATAATACAGGTCTAACAGTAATACTCTCAACTACCTACTAGCCGTCTACCTTGATTCTCGACCTTCACACCTTCATATCAAGGGTCATGTCCTCGATCGATAAGCTGAAGAAACTTCATATCCTACCTAATTACCTCTACTCAATACTTTTTTGGCCTACCTCTACCTCTCCTCAGCCCCTCTAGCACCAACCTCTCACACCTGCTTACTGGGGCATCTACGTTTCTCCTCTTCACATGCCCAAACAATCTAAGTATAGTTTCTCGCATTTTGTCCTCCACCGGAGACACTCCCACTCTGGCCCGAATATCTTTATTCCTAATCCTATCTATCCTGGTATGCCTACACATTCATCTTAACATCCTCATCTCTGCTACTTTCATCTTTTGGACATGCGAGTTCTTATCACATAAAACACTATATGCTAGCCTCCACTTCACCCACCCTACTCTAGTACGATGTGTAACATACTCGTCTATCTCCTCATTTCCTTGGATAATAGACCCAAGGTACTTGAATATATTCCTTAGGGATAACTTGTGTATCAAGCCTCACATCTCCGTCCGATTCACTGGTCCCATCACTGAATTTGCACTCATAGTATTCTGTCTTGGTCCTACTCAACTTGAACCCTTTAGATTCTAGGGTATGTCTCCAAACCTCCAGTCTCGTGTTAACACCACCTCGCATCTCGTCAATCAGTACAATATCATCTGCAAATAACATATACCATAGCACCTCCCCTTGAATATGGCGCGTCAGTATGTCCATTGCCAAGGCAAATAAAAACGAGCTGAGAGCTAACCCCCAGTGCAACCCCATCATATCTGGAAAATGGTCCGAGTCCCCCCATTGTCCTCAATCAAGTCATAGCTACATCATACATGTCCTTAATCACCCTAGTGTAAGCATTAGGAACACCCCTAGCTTCCAAACATCTCCATAGAACCTCCCTAGGAACTTTGTCATACGCCTTTTCTAAATCAATGAACACCATATGTAAGTCCCTCTTCCTATCCCTATACAACTCCACTAGCCTCCTGACAATATAAATGGCTTCCGTAGTCGAACACTCCGGCATGAATCCGAACTAGTTTTGGAAATAGATACACTCTTCGTCACCCTCGCTTCTACCACTATCTCTCAAACTTTCATAGTGTGGCTTAGCAACTTGATGCCCCTATAGTTATTGCAATTTTGGATATCACTCTTATTTTTGTACAGTAGAATCAGCGTACTACACCTCCATTCTTCAAGCATCCTCTTCATCCTAAAAATGACGTTAAACAACCTAGTAAGCCAATCCAAGCCTTTTCCGCACTCTTCCAAAATTCCACAGGAATTTTATCTGGCTCGGTCGTTCTTCCCCTGCTCATCTTACGCATAGCCTCCTCAATCTTAATATGCCTATAATAACCAAAATCTCGACGACTTTCAGAGTGCTCCAAATTACCTAACACAATATCCATGTCCCCTCTACATTTAGGAGCTTATGGAAGTATGTCTTCCATCTACGTCTAATATGTGTCTCTTCTATCAATACTGTCTTCCTCGTCCTTAATGAACTTCACTTGATTCAGGTCACGGGCCTTCCTCTCTCTCACCTTGGCTATCTTTTACAGCTTCTTATCCCCACATTTGTCCCTAAGTTCTTCATTCAAACGTCCAAACTATGCAGTCTTAGACTCCATTACCGGTAGCTTTGCCTCATTCTTGACCTTCTTGTACCACTCCATATTCGTCCTCTTCTCCTCCTCGCCATTGCTCTCCATCAACTTCTAGTATGCTTCTTTCTTGGCTTCTACTTTACCTTGGACCTCTCCATTCTACCACCAGTCCCCCTTGTGGCCGCTAGAGCAACCCTTCGAGACTCCTAGTACCTCTCTAGCGGTTTCCCTAATACAGTTTGCAGTCTTGGTCTACATACCACTCGCGTCCCTATTGCTTCTCCATGCCCCCATTTCTTCTAACTTCTCCCCCAACTCTCGCGCTTTGTCCTAAGTTAAGGCTCCCCACTTGATCTTAGATTGACTATACACAACCCTCTTTTGCCTCTTCCTCACGATCTCTAAGTCCATCATGAAAAGTCTATGTTGAGTCGAGAGACTCTCACTCAAGATAACCTTACAATCCATGCAAAGTTGGGTTTTAATAGGTAGTCAATATGGGTCTTAACCCCCGCACTCTGGAAGGTAACCAAGTGTTCCTCCTTCTTCGGAAAACTCGAGTTAGCTATCACCAAATCAAAAGCTTTATCAAAATCCAACAGAGAAGTTCCACCTCTGTTTCTAACCCCAAAATTGATGCCACCATGCACATCGTCGTAATCCCCGAAAGTCATCCCAATGTGGCCATTGAAGTCCCTTCCAATAAAAAGCTTCTCAGTGAGCGGGATGCCTCACACAACCTCGTCCAGATCATCTAAGAAGCACCTTTTGACCTACTCGTCCAATCCCACTTGATGTCCGTAGGCTAAGTTGCTCCGACATGGCAGTTTAGGTGCCGCACCCGTGTCGACATGACACTAGTAAGGATGTAGGTATGGGATCCGTACCGGATCTGGTCAAGTAATTTTGGGTACTTTGACCATAATGGACGGAAATATTCGAGACGAAATACAATTTGATTCCCAAAATCAAAACCAAAACTAGGATAAATTTGAAGAAAATAGCAAACTTTATCTAGGAAATCATTCCTTTACTTATCTACAACTTGAGAATAAAAAGAAATACACACTTTACAAGCTATACATAAGTATTCCACAAAATTTATCATAATTTAGAGATATTTTTATATTTTTATTTTTATTTTGAATAATTTTTAGTCGGATATCTGCACCTGTATCTGTACTAGGATTCGTATCCCTGAATCTTAGAATTTACATCTTGAAGGGTCCGACCTCTAGATTCGCAACTGTGTCGGACACCCGCATCCGTGTCCGAGCAACTTAGTCCTTAGGCACTAATTACATTTAAAGCCAGCCCTCCAACAACTAGCTTAATAGCCATCAACCTGTCGTTCACCCTCCTAACTTCTACCACTAGCTCCCTGAGTTCCCTGTTCACCAAAATGCCTACCCCGTTCGTGCCCCTCCCGCTTACGCTTCCTGAGTACCCCAGTTTGTACCCCGTCCACATCCCGCGCCTTAGACCTCACCTATCTAGTCTCCTGGACATAATCTATACTAATCCTCTTCTAAAGGATTTTCGCTAACTCTATTGACTTTCTTGTCAAAGCCCCTATGTTCCAAGACCCAACCCTGGCTACCTTCCCACCCTTGCCCCCTACCCACTGCCCCCTCCCGGAGGACACGACCTTATTCTACTATCGTTCGACCCAACCACTATAGTCTAAGGAGCACAAATCTAGTACTACCACTAGTACCGGCAACAAATCAGCATGAAGTAACATCTCTATAATGATTAGCAAAAAAAAAAAAATGTCTTTAATGAAGTTGTTTTCATGCCTCATATACCTTTCTTCTGGCTTAGTGTTAGTGCAATTCTTGTAACAGGTAATATAGTTTATCACATGGCTATGAGAGCTGGTAGAGAAAGCTTAAACGGAGACGTTGAAATCTTGGGTTCCATTCTTGCTTGTCCTTACTTTATGATCCCAGTCGATAACGTCAATTTGCAGGATAATGACGCTTATAATTTGTGGATGACCATCTGTCCAAAATTGGAATCTGGATTATCAGCAACTGCAACTGATAGTCCAATGATTAATCCACTTGCTGAAAAGGCTCCTAGTCTATCAGGTCTAGGCTGCTCGAAATTGTTTATGGGTATAGCTGAGAAAGATGTATTGGTTCCAAGAGAAATTATGGTTAAGTTTGTTGAAGGTGTGAAGAAAAGTGGGTGGAATGGAGAGTTGACGTTCTTTGAAGTTGAAGGAGAAGATCATTGCTTCTTTATAGAGGATCCTGAAACTGAAAAAGCTAAAGATTTGATACAGCGCTTTGCTTCTTTCATCAAACAAAAGTAATGCCTTCTAACTATTATTGTAGACTGTGTTACTGTTTGATTGTATGGTCGTTTCAACTTTTGTCATCTTAATCTCTATTTTAGCTTGCAAAATTTGATTCATAATCCTTTTGTGCACATTCGTGTGGCCGCATCCTTTTTGTACATTTGTAGTAATTAATACCCACATTGCACTTGCAATTTTTCATTCATGTTTCCTCTATATACTTTTATATATTTTTTACGACATCAGTTTAAATAGAGAAGAGTTAACTGTTCATGGCAAGCCTAATAGGATACTTGAGAAATAAAATAATAACACCCAGCTACTGTATACGATAAAAACTGGTCGCAAGAGTTGGGTGACTTAGGAAACTGTCACAATCCAAATCCACGTGAATGGCACCCGGTACATTACCCGATTAGCTCGAACCAACCCATATGTCAAACCAAATATAATTGCGGAAGCCAATTGAAAATCTTGTACATTTTCAAATCAAGCCATGTAATGTTTTTTTATTTCCAAAATCTTACATGAAGATTTGCATAAAAATGATATAATCAAATTAAATAATTATTCTTTTATCCACAACCCTATTTTTACATCCAACACAATTATCTATAGAGTCTCTATACCAAAGAATAGAACCACCACTTGGAATAATTCCAATAAAAAAAAATAAGAAATAACATGATAGCTGCCACGAGATAAAAGTGGTGCTTCATCGTACCTCGAAAAGAGAGTCATCCTAGTCCTGCCCACACATCACATGTCACACCTCATCCTAAAGCACATAAAGAAAACGGGACCCTGAAGAGGGCCCCCTAAGGGCTGAGTATCACAATGATACTCAATAAGTGTCATAGACTCTCTCTAACTTAAGTTCTTGGGACAAACTTTATAAAAATAATGCACCAATATTTGATATAAAATGAAAAGAAATTTTATCAACTCATGATCTGTATCATTTTAAATATAAGACAAGTGAAATATAACCCACAATATAAACTTTTAAAACATTTATATCAATCCAAGATTTTGAATAAAATCATACAAAATTATTCTATTTGTTGGGAGTACTATACCATCACCGACACAAGAAGGTCAACTAGGTTATGTTCCTAGCGGCAAGTATCATATACCCTACTTGCTCAGGTCGTCTCATCGTAGTGTCGTACGAATCAACTCAGTCATGCTAATAATAGCACAAAATAGTACCCTCTCGAGGGAGAGCACTTTGTCGTAGTCTATACCACAAAGTGGCTATCTACACCTACACTGTCACGTGTAGTTTCATGACGACGAACACAATATATCTGAAGCTAATCTCGGTGAACACAAGTAACTCCCAAAATATTTGATACTCCAAAAATAGATTCATAGCATAGTAGCCTCAAAGAATCTATTTTTTTATCAAATCATACCATTAATAGAAAATCTAAACCATTTGAACAAAAATTAAATAAACAACATTTTACATGTTAAAGCCTTTAGCAATTTAACATCAATCTTTAAAAAGATACCACAAGTGCTATTCTATTTATTAATTTTCAAAAGAAATACTTTCCATGAAAACTTATCTTTAGCACTCCAATATGTATACTCTTATCAATATGTAAGTTTTGATAAAAATTTATAACATTTACCTTAAATGTCATTTTGCCAACAAGATTTAAAATAAAATTTTATAAAACAACATGATACTACATATGCAACATAATATTTTAGTACATGGACACATCTGTACTTGTTTGGCCCCACAAGCACGAAAGCATATATGGAAATAACTTAACCGTAAACTCGAAACATGCTTTTAGAGAAAATCCCTCAAGAAAAGTAAGTTTTAATCAACTTATCTCGCTTTCATTTTATTAACACCGAATCTCCAATAGAATACATAAATGAAGAAAGCATCTCAATTGAGAAAAGTTCGTTTCCCGGAGAATTTGCTTGTCAACGAAATTCCACTCATAAGTAGGTTCACATCGTGATCTAAGTTCCATTTTCCATCCGAGAGGTTATGATACTGGTAAAGAGTCCTATTCTTCTCCTTGGGTTATGAAATAATTCGATAGCTCCGGGATCCCTCACTGCATTCCAAGGCAAGCTCCTACTAGATCCTACTATTCTTGATATTCCTACTGGATTTGAGCAACTTGAGTATGAACATTGTATCGCTATGCCCCTCGCTTAGCCCCGCTCTTTGAACGAACTTGCAGGCTTTATCTTATACCTTACCTCAACTAAAAAAGCTAACAAAAATGTCGATTCCATGCCTTAAGACTGACTGATGCTTTCCTCTTTCCTGGTCTCCATTACCCTTCTCCCGAAAATGCTATTTCATCACTTTGAGCTCATCAAGTAGAATAGTTAATTACGTTTAACAATCTTTAGCAAATGTTGATTAAAATGATCAAACATCACCAACAAGTCGATATCTACAATTAGATATCCTAATTACATCAAAATATGACCTAAAATATTGATCAATATCCATTTATGGCTCATAAGTTGGCTACAAGCATCCAACAACTCAAATCGCCGAATAAATTCACATGCTAGCCCATTCAACTTCATTCTTATATTTTAATACACATTCGAAGTCATTAATAATACTACATTAATTTTTCAATGCCACCAAGTTACTATTCATCATCTTCCATAATCAACACTTGCAAAATATATAATTCGGGTGATTACTTAGTTGATCACTTCCAACTTTTGCTAACAAATAATTCCACAGGTTCATTGTATTCATCAATTTCATCGCCGACATTACTATTCATTTTCTCTCTCATTTTCTCAAAAGTACTATTCATGCCATGAACTAGAGTTTTATAATTCAATCTTTCAACCATTAAAACATGTAACAAATGCTTCAAATACTTCTAACTACTCATAATAAACGAGTTTGAAGCATTAGAATTACCTCTAGTAGATCAATCTTGAAAAATCATAACTTTGGTGATTTTTGGGTTCTTGAGGATTTGATAATGAAATCTAGTATTTGGATGTAAGAATGATATTAGAACTCATATATATTGAGTAAGAATCAACCCAAAATATTATTAACAACTTACCTTAGTTGGTTGGACTTGATTTGAGCTTAAAATCGCCTCTTGACCTCAAGAACCCTAACCCCAAAAGCTCAAAATATTATTTCTCCCCAACTTTGTACTTATAGGCCCAAGTTTCTGGGTTTCAGACTCTGCCCCGGACGCTTCGTGTCCCCAATTCACTCTTGCTTCAAGCTCTGATGTGGATCCGGACGCTATGGCAGTACTTCACTTCCAGCCTTTGGTAATTTGATCATAACTTCTTGTAGGAATTTCCAAATGATGAACGGTTTGAAGAATTAGAAACTAGACTCAAAGATCTTTTATTTGATAGGTTTTTCACCATATAGATCCTTACATATATATATATATATATATATATATGTTCGTCCAAAGTTAGGTCTTGTATGTACTCATTTGGAACTTTAGTCTATCATGTAATTTCCAACTTGACTTGTCCCAAGGGCTCTCCTTAGGCCCTATATCACTTCAAATACACCCGTTTCACTTGTTATTATGTGTATGGTATATATTTCATATTGTTAATTAACATTCTCATACAAATAAATATAATTAGCATACGTCGGACCTCTTAATGACCTTATAATATTTTGAAAAAATTTTCGGAACACCACTGAAGCAACACGTGTCAAGGATAACCAATTGGCAGTGACTCAACCATGGTGACACCGGATACGAATCTATAGCCGGATAAAAAGTAATTCAAGATATGACCGTTATAAAAATATTACAGAAGATACCAAGATTCCACTGGCCTTTATTACCTTTTATTATTCTTTATCACCTTTTAATTACTTTTTATTGCAGCATTAAAATTGGTAATTGAGGGGACATATTTTGTAAATCATTGTCACGACCCAGAATCTCACTAAGTCATGATGGCACCTAACATAACCCTGTAGGTAAGCCCAACAGTAAAAGTCACTATTATGATAGGAAACCAATAGAGATGGTGAATGAAATAGCCAAAAACGTTTAATACAACTATCCCAAGGACAGGTAGTACAAGTCATGAGCGACTATGAATAAGAGTACATCTAGAGTTTGAGAAAAATTACATCATCTTTTCGAAATTTACATAAACAGAGTTATAGCTTCTAATCTGCCACGAACAGATGGTAGCTTGTATCTTGAATGATGGTACGTCTTCAATGCTAGGACCTCGAATTCCGCAGTCGCTCACCGCCGAATATCTGCACGTAAGGTGCAGAAGTGTAGTATGACTACAACCGATCACATGTACTCAGTAAGTACCTTGACTAACCTCGGTGAAGTAGTGATGAGATTTTTAAGTCAAAAGATACTCACTAATATAACATATTTAGTTAAATTTTCAATAGAAACAACACTAGTAATAATAAAGTAGATTACAAGAACAAATATGAGAACTAGTAAATGATTAACTAAAAGTATTAACGATCAGTTCCTCAATATCCCAACTAACCATTTTCTAACACTTCAAATCATGATGTTAAAGCAATAACCATTAAACAACATAGTAACCCATGAATCTTCATAATATGAGAAATGTGTTCAAGATATCAAATCAAATGACACGGCAACACCCTTCGTGCATTTACCTCACCTTACCAAACATATGCATGTATGTCAAATCAAATGGCATGGCAACACCCTTCGTGCTTTTATCTCATCCTCACCAAGCATATGTATAATAGTACCAACCATGTAGAAGCAATGCCAATAACAGTAACAGCAAAGTAGAAATAACAAAGATAGCAGTAACAACAAAGTAGAAATAACACCGATAGCAATAACAAATAAGGCAGAAGCATATGAATGACGGTAACAGACAATGTAGGAGGCACAGAAGTAACGATGACAAATAAGTTAGGAGAACATGGGCTTCAATAACAAACACGGTAGATGGTTTAGATAAAATAATGACAAACGAGCGGAGACATAGATATAAATATAACAAACAAGAAAGAAAGCATGAATGTCACTAAGTAAACAGTTAGAAGGCATGGATAGAACAATAACAAATAAAATAGAAGGTGAAGGCGTAACAACAATAACAAGCAGCATAGAAAGCATAGGTGTAATCGAAAACAACTGGGGATAAAGACATGATTGCATAAAGGTAAGACA